ATGAGTGTCCTGCTCAGCTCTGCTGTTCCCCCCCGGGAGGAGCTGCCACGTCCACCCCGCAGCGTGCCGGGCCGGCAGATAGCAGGGAACAATCGGTTCCCATCAGCACAGCCAGTTACTCAGGGCTTATGAAACCGCCTGTCTCCAGACATCCTTTCCTGTCCATCAGCTCCTTGGGTGCTGACAGAGGCCCTGCCAGAGCTCCCATCAACACCTGCCCCAGCAGCACCCGCTGTCCCAGCACACACCTTCCCTATGCTCCAGGGTGCACAGACACCCCCGGGGCACTGACACACTCCTCATTGCCCTGCTTTGCTGCTCGCACTGCTTATTCATCTTTGTGCACTACAGTGGCCTCCAGGACCAACCTGGACCCCTAGAAACACTCCTGTGGTTTTATCAAACAGTTCTAAAACCTGCTTCACGTGCCTGACGCTCTGGAGGTGGGCAGGAATGAGACAGAAGCACCTGGAAGGTGTCTGTCAGCAGGAGACGTTCCGAGCTCAGCAGATCCCGGCTGAGATTGTCTGGAAGAGGCTCAGTTGGTGCTTTGGCCCCAGTGCTGAGGGAAAGGCAGAGCCCTTGGGGCTGACTGTGCACACCCTGAGTTCATGGGAAACAACCAGGAATCTGATCCCATGGTGGTATTTACTGCAGGGTTTCCTTACCCCGTCCTTCCCGTGACCTGGCACCAAGGTGTGCGAGGTGGTTTCCAATAAACACCTGGCTGTAAAGCAGCAGTGAGAACCAGCCAGGCTGGATGGGGCTTGGAGCAACCTGCTCTGGTGGAGAACAGAGATGGGGACGGTCATGAACTTCCCCACCTTGGACTGGGATGGTCTAAAAACACAGTCACTCTCCAGGCTGGTCCATGAGCTGGGCTCAGAGCTGGACAGCAGGTCCATCCTCTGTCTGCATGGAATCATGGAAAGGTTTGGGTTGGAGGAACCTTAAAAAACACCCAGTGCCACCCCCTGCCACGGGCAGGGACACCTTCCACCAGCCCAGGTTGCTCCAAGCCCCGTCCAACCTGGCCTGGGACACTCCCAGGGATGGGGCAGCCACAGCTTCTCTGGGTCATCCCACCAACCTGAGCCTGCATCCCACCAGCAGCCCATCCCAGAGCAGCTGCAGGGTTTTGCTGGACAAGTGAATCCTGTTCCTGTGGAGCTGGAGGGAGCTCTGGGTGGGTCTGGGTGAGCTGCCCCGTGCTGCTCAGCTGCAGAGGGGCAGGATTGCACCGAGGCTGACAGACAAAACCACCCCAACTGTGGATCAGCACGTGGGAATGTTCCTCGTGGAAGGGGAGAGAGGCAGAAGATGATTTATAACAGCCCAATTATGCTTGAAACAACTTGTACCTGGCTGGTCAGGGAAAAGGGAGCCCGGAGACAACCGAGGCAGGAACAAACCCTTAGGTCAACCCGACATTTGCTGTTGGGTCTATGGGAAAAGATTCTCATAAAAACAGACTTGGGAGCCAGAAGAGAAAATTAAATATTGGTGCAGAGGATGTGTTGGGTTGCTGTGATGTCATCAAGGCACTGACCCCGTGGGGATGGAGGGACCCCGGGGCAGCCAGAGATGCTCCTACCTCTGTCACCCCATTCCCAGCTCATTACTGTGCAAGAACCTCAGATTTCCACACTACAAAATACAGATGTAAGGACCTCAGCTCCCAAGCTGTGCAGGGGTTTGGTAGCAGGGAGCAGGAGCCTGTGGTGTTTTATGCTCTGTTGAAGGCCCACCATGACTCAGCCCATCACGAGGCCCCCCTCAGCACAAGGAAACCCTGGATCAGCCTGTGCCCACCTGCTGTGCCACTGGGGCACAGTGTTCCCCTGGCCTCGCCTCCCTCCACCTCTCCCAGCACAGCTGAAAGGTTTTTTCCCAGTCTGAGAAAGGCAAAGCTTCACTGAGCTGTGGGAGAGCCACAGGAATCCTGGGGAAGCCGCTGGGAGAGCGCCCAGCTGAGCTCCTGCATCCTGCTGCCAGCAACATCCCACTGCATCCATCCTTCCCATGGCTCCATCATCCCCTCCATCACCTCTACACCCCCTGCATCCTGCTGCCAGCAACATCCCACTGCATCCATCCTTCCCATGGCTCCATCATCCCCTCCATCACCTCCACACCCCCTGCATCCTGCTGCCACCAACATCCCACTGCATCCATCCTTCCCATGGCTCCATCATCCCCTCCATCACCTCCACACCCCCTGCATCCTGCTGCCACCCACATCCCACTGCATCCATCCTTTCCATGGCTCCATCATCCCCTCCATCACCTCCACACCCCCTGCAGCCTCAGGGCACTGGGAGCAGGACCATGAGGGGCAGCATAACCCCGGATTTGAGGGGTGTTTACACCCACAACAAGGACACTGCAGGTGGAGCAGGACAGCCCCAAATATCTCCTGTACAAGGCATGGGCTGAAGCAGACACAGCTGGGGACCCTGCCAGGGTGTTCACAGCCCAGCCAGGCTCAGTGGTGAGCGGTGTTTGTGCCCACAGGGGAAGGCTGGGTGGTCTGGCTGCTCCCACACGACCCCTCGGGCAGCTGGTACATCAATGTCCCCTCAAGGAGCAGCTCCTGCCCTGCCCAGCTCCCAAATCACCGCATGCTCAAGCTGTTCCTTCCTCCCGCCCTCCGAGACGCCTTTATCCTGCTGTCCAGAACAGTCTGTGTCCTGACAACCCCTCCAGCACCGTGCCCAGGCACCAGCAGTGACCTCATCCCTCGCTGCCACCCAGGTCAGCATCCAAACCCAGCCTCTGAGCCGGGGGAGCTGACCTGTCCCCAGACACGGGGTCCCCAGGAAGGCACAGGGTCCCCAGGCAGGCACAGGGTCCCCAGGCAGGCACAGGGTCCCCAGGAAGGCACTGGAGCCCCTGGGATGCCCAGGGTACACTCCCCCCATGCCACCCCCAGCCCACACTGCTGCCACCCCCAGCCAGCCCAGCAGGTCCCTCTGGGCACAGGTCACACGTGTCACCGCTGCCACCCCCACGGCAGCCACCAGCTCCCCACGGGCCTTTCATAACACACACGGCCTTGCCCAGAGCTGTGTCATCCCCTGCAATCTCGGCAATGACTCAGCCCGATCCTTATCACCAATCCTCCTTTGTCACCTGGTTTCATCCTCGGATTCTTGACAAGTGACACCACCAAAAGCAGGGCAAGGATTGACACCGCGATTTATTCCTCCCACTGCAGCCCCCCCACCCATCCCTGGGGCCCCGGGGACAGAGCTCGGGTGTGGGGACAGGCAAAGCCAAGCCCAGAAACACGCGGTGAGAGGGAGATGGGAAAGCTGGAGACAACAGGAGTGACCCTGCCAAGCCGGGGAGCCGCGCGTTGGGCGAGCCCGGGGAGGGTTCAAACCTCGGGCAGTTGGCGTGGAAACACCGTCAATATTTTCAGGGCACTGGCAGCAGCCACGGAGCTCCCTGTCCCACAGCCCCGGGGAAGGCTCAGGGAACCACCCCGGGAGCCTCCGCGGGAGAATCCCATTGACCAGCAGAGGAGAGGGACCCAGGGAACACAAATCCCATTGTGACATCCAAGGAAAAAAAACGCAACGGACTTCCCCACCGATGGGAAGTGGGAGGGAAGACACATCCCCTGCCCTCAGCAGCTGTCCCACCTCCCACTCCCACCCTGTTCATCCCAGTCCCAAACTGCTCAGAAGCCCTGAGTGGGGGAACTGCTCAGCACAAAAGCCATGAGAACATCAACCCTTATTCCTTCTCTCCAAAGTCCATCTGAAATCTCCATCCTGGAGCAGCCACAGGTCCTGACACCTCCAGAACACACCCAGGGACACCCCTGCACTGTCAGCACCTCAGACAAGCAGCTCATGCCGCAGGAACAGCTCCCAGTCCATCCCCCAGGACACTGCCCTGTGCTCCAGGGATGGCAGGGACAGGGACACACCCTCAGGGTCAGCAACATCAGCTCCAAGAGTGCAGAGGAGCCCACAGAGACGCAGGAGACACCCCCCTCCACAAGCTCCCTACCTTTCTGAAGCCGTCCCTGGGAAGGTGAGCTGTGGCCAGGAGCAGCTCCTCTGTGTGGCACATCCCAGCTGGAAGCTCCCATCCCACCATCCTCCTCCAAACCAAACACCCCCAACCTGAGCTCTCCTCTGCAGAGCCCCAGGAGGGGTTAACTGGAACCAGCTGGTTGGATCTTCCCCCTCTGCTCACCTGCAGATGAGCTGATTTCCAGGAGGGATCCAGCAGGAGAGGACCCAGGAGCGCTGCTTGGGAGTAGGGAATTCTCTCCCAGGGCAAAACACATTTCATTGGGCCCCAGACAGTGGGGACAGAGCAGGTTGTCACAAAGCACAGCTCCAGGCCTGGCTGAGTTTGCTGCTGGGCCACAGGGACACTGAGCCTGGAGGTCCCTTCCTGTCCCAGGGAGATACCAGTCCTGTCACCACCAAGAATTCCTTCCCAATATCCCATCTCTCCCTGCCCTCTGGCAGTGGGAAGCCATTCCCTGTGTCCTGTCCCTCCATCCCTTGTCCCCAGTCCCTCTCCAGCTCTCCTGGAGCCCCTTTAGGCCCTGGCAGGGGTTCTCAGGTCTCCCTGGAGCCTTCTCTTCTCCAGGTGAACCCCCCCAGCTCTCCCAGGCTGTCAGTGTTCACGTGTCATTTTAAATTAATATCAGCCACATTAAGTCATATTAACATACATTTTCATCCCCCTCCCCCTGGACCATGCTAATCCCTTCCCAATTTTACTTGATTGTAGGAGAAGATCTATTTGTATTGTCCTGTTTAATAATCCAAAGTATGAGCAGGGTGGGAGTTCTGTGATCTCTCCCAGTCTCTCTGAAATATGATAATAAAAAATAGTGGTTGGGAGAATCTCTTATTTAATATCCTTGGGATGAAAATGATCCAGTTCTGGTTCCCTGGGAAGGTCCATCCTTAAACTCTGAGATCAGGGCACAACACGCTCAGAACTCCACTGAAATCATACCCGCAGGCACGTTTTTAAACATGAATATTTACTAACATAAATAGTGTTTTATAACAAAAGGCACAGATTTTCAACTATAAACAAATGGAAAAATATGTACAATTTGCACAGAGGGGATCGACCAGCAAGTGCACAGTTGGTCACTGCAGATTTCCTTCCCTAGAAGCCGAGATTTCCTCCCTCCCAAGTCATTTCCACCCGTCAGGAAGTGTCCAGGTTGTGTTTCCCCCCAACAGGAAGCGGTGCCAGAGGAGGAGTTGTCGAACGGGAAGGCTGGAGCAGCCCGGGCTTTCAGATGCAGACGGTGCTGCCCAGCTCCTCGTACTGGATGATGAAGTAGGGGTAGCTCTGGTCGTCGTTGAAGATGACGAAGATCTGGGGCTCGAAGAAGTTGTCCACGCAGGAGTCGTACAGGTCGCTGGTGACGCTGCCCGGCTCCACGGGCGGGGGTCTCCTCATGGTGTGGTTGCCCACCGTGTACCTGCCCGTCAGCACCTTGGCCAGGAACATGTAGTGGACGCCCCTGGGGGAGCGCTTGGAGAAGTTGTGGGAGTAGCTGGCCTTCCTGGCGAAGTAGCTGCCCTGGCCGAACATGGTGGCGTGCTTGCCGCACACGCGCGGGTCGAAGTTGTGCTTGCAGATCCCGTCCACCACGTCCTGGGACGTGCCGTGGAACAGGTGCCGCTCGTTCATGAGCCTGTCCAGCCCGGACATCTTCTTGGACATGTACTCCTTTTTCCTGGAAGGGAAAATGGGAAGGGCGGGTGAGCGCTCGGAGCGGGTCGCTCGGCTGCGGCTCTGGCAGTCTCAGTGTCACCCCCTGGAAGGGCAGAACTGTGAGGGGAGACACAGAGCTCCCCCATAAAATTCCTGCTCTACAAACATCCATTTATCACAGAACTGTATTTCCATCCTCTTACCTTTTATATTTCTCCCAGAGAAACTGGTTCTGCACTCGCAGGATTTTCAGAATCTTGTATTTGGTCTCTGGCACAGTCTTGTGGAACAGGTTGTAAATGGTTCTATAGCTTTTGTCTTCCTTCAGAACAGGCACTTGGATGAAGTCCTGAGATGGATCCATACAAATCCAGGTTTCAGGATAGAAGCTGGGAGAGGTAACAGCAGCTGGAGATAAGATGTGTGCGGGGTCAGCACAGGGGGAGGGCGCCGGGGAGCTGCCGCCCAGGGTCCTGTGGGGAGGAGAAAAGGTGCTTAAACACTCACACAAGAGCCTCTCAGCACATTTATTTCATCCCCAACATGCCTTAAAAGATTAAGGTGGAAGTGTCCCAGGCCAGGCTGGACGGGACTTGCAGCAACCTGGGCTAGTGGAAGGTGTCCCTGCTGGGCAGGGGGTGGAACGGGATGGGATTTAAGGTCCCTTCCAACCCAGGAAGACTCTCATTGCCATTTGCACAGGCCAGATGTGGATTTGCATTTGCAGTTGGTTATTTTCCTGCCCCTCCTCCGGGAATGCTGCCCAGAGAGCAGCAGGGCTGAGGGAGGGAGCTGGGGCCAAGAACCACCACAGACTCCAGAGAAAAAAAAACACCTGGAAAACCCAGGGAAGGACAGCAGGAGGACTCTGCTCTCAACACCCACCTGGGATGTTCAGAGCCTCGAAGCTGCCACGCTGAGGTAAGTGTGGCATTTGTGTCCCCCTGCTCAGCCCTGCAGCTTCCCTGGCACGGGCAAGGACACAGGGAAACACCTCCAAATTCCACCCAGGACTACTTTCCCCAAGTATTTCTGTGGGAAAAGCTGCCACTGGCTCAGGGACCAACCCACCCTTAAAGCCTTGACGGGCCCTTCCACCACTGATGGGCCAGGACAAGGTGGATCCTGTCCCCAAACCCCCCAGACAGCCAGGAATGAAATCAAAGACTGAGATTTCTCCCCCTGTTCACACATCACCTACAGAACCCTCAGTTCAGGTTGGGCCTCTCTCAGTATTTAATGCTCCCAGTGATTCAGGAGCCTGAAAGAGCCGTGTGCCACCAAGAAATAGTTTAATGGCATTTTCTGACTGCAGGTTGAGATTTCTGATTCTAGAAAACGGTGGTTTTTCTGGGAAAAAAAAAGGAGTCTATTTTTAAATCAACACGTTTGATTTGGATCAGAGAGATGGGAAACTGTGGCAGCCCTCCCACTTCTCAGGGCAGAAACACTGAGGTGGTCATGTGGTTGTCACCTGCTGCTCAAGCCAAAACCAGCCTTCCCTTCATTTGCATGGATTTGACTCAACTCAGAGTTCCTCTCCCTGGTTATAAACAGTTGAGCAGAAACCCCCAAAGATGGATTTTTGTATGAATTATTGTTAAAGTAGCAATTGAATATCACAGTTTGTTTGCCCCCTTTAACAGGTAAAAAGATGTTATTGTGGGGGCCTCAGTCACTCCCACTGGACTGGAAGACCAAGCAGAGATTTCCAACGTCATGGATTAATAAAACATCAAATCCAATAAAAATCCTGCAACCCTTTATGTACTTGGTTCAGTTCTCCTGACTAGTGTAAAATATTTTTATTATTTATTCCGCAGGGGAAGCAATTAAAAAGTCAACACTTGTCATGCACCATCACCCACAGTTTCTATTCCAGGATTCTTTCCCAATTTTAGAATAGCATTAAATTAAGCAGGTGGGAAGGGAGGGAAAGAACACATCTCAGGTATCACTGTGTGGGAAGTGGAGGCAACACTGACTCCTTAAGGACAGATCCATGAATATTTAACCCACTCTTTTGCTCTTGCTAAGAACTGGTGAATTTAGGTGAGCATGAGGAGGCCCTGGGACAAAGAGAACAAGGATGAGCTTTGGTGCAGAACAGGGCTGCTCTAACCACCAGGCCCACCCTGGTTTTTCACCTGCACCCTCCAGTTTCTCTTTCATACCTTGGGGTTTCCCTCCTGTAAAACCAGATCTGTAAATGTTCCCAACACCACGTGTTTCGAGGCCGGGACCAAACCCACCCTCCCCTCGTGACCAGGCTGGGGGGGACTCTCAGGAACCCCATCAGGGAACGGTTTGGGTGAAGGACCTTAAAGCCCCTCCAAGTCCACCCCCTGCCAAGGACACCTTCCATGGACTTTTCAGGTTGCTGAAAGCTGGACAATGCCTTGGCAGACCTGGAGTACACCCCATGTCCTGAGATCCACAAGGTCCATTACAAATGTGAGTAACAGTGAGTAATTCCTCAGATAAATCTTATTTTGGAAAGCGGAGAAAGCTGCAAATCCGACCCAGATTTTCAAATTACCCTTCCCATTTCCCCACCCAGCAATGCCTGTTTCCCTGTCTCATCTCAAGGAACAGGGTTCTCCTGGGCAGACCAAGCCGGAAAACAGAGGGAATTCCCATTTTCCTGGGATACTTACTGCAGGAAGGGCATCAGCACGACGCAGGAGCGCAGGAGGGGCCTCCTCTTGATCTCCCTCCTGAAGCAGGCGTTCTGCTGGAAGCCATCCTTGATGTTGAGGATGTACTGGTTGTGCCAGGTGACAAACCTGACCTCCTTCAGCCCCCGGCACGAGGCCTCCTCGATCAACCTCACCACGGGCTGCCCGGGAAAGACGAGGAGAGGAGAACACACAGGTGAGAAATGACACGCTCAAAGGTCAGCATTTCTCCTCTGTGCTACAGACACCCAGTTGTGAAACTCCTCAGACACCCTCGAGCTGTCATTTGTGGGGCTCTCTGCCCAGCTCTCTCCGGCAGCCCAAACATGTACACGTGTGTGACCCACTGTGCAGGGAATTCCGGCTCCCAGCCCAGCACAGGCTCGGGAAGGTGGGAATACCTCGGAGTACTCCCTCCAGCCGAAGTGGTCCCTGCAGAAGTACTTCCAGACGGTGAAGCAGCTGGAGCTGGAGCCGGGGCAGGACGGGGTGCACAGGCGCCGCACTTGGTCAAACTCAGCAGTCTCGTACAACTTCATGAGGTTCAGATCCACGCAGAACTCCTGGCCCCTGGGAGAACAGGAAACAAGGCATTCTCACCTTCTGTGATCCACTGAACCCAGGGTGCTCACACAGGGACACAACCCCGAACCCAGAATCCTGCAATGGTTTGGGTTGGTCCTTGAAGCCCATCCAGTCCCACCCCTGCCCTGGGCAGGGACACCTTCCACTATCCCAGGTTGCTCCAAGCCCCATCCAACCTGGCCTTGGACACTCCCAGGGATGGGGCAGCCACAGCTTCTCTGGGCAACCTGTGCCAGGGCCTGCCCACCCTCCCAGCCAGGAATTCCTTCCCAATATCCCATCCATTGCCCTGTGTCCCTGGGAAGCCATTCCCCCCGGTCCTGTCGCTCCAGGCCCTTGTAAAAGGTCCCACAGAGACTCTGTGACAGAGGTGGGAACAGAAATTTCTGAAGAACTGCTCCTCACCAGCTAACCAAAAAAAGGCCTCTGTTTACAAATTAAAGCAGTTCAGTGGAACTATCTGCACTGAGAGAACGAGCACGTTGAACTCTCAGAAGAACAGGGCACACAACCCCAAATTTGGTGCTGCACAACAGCACAGTTCAAAATAAAACTCCACGAGCACTTCCAACAGCACAGCCTGGCTCCTCCAGTAAGTTATATCTGCTCTGTGCCCCCAAATGTAAGAATAACACACAGATATCGTGTCTTTGTGACACTGAACTGAGCAGGTTCCTCGACTGGCAAGTTATAACACTGATGTATTTTTGTAAGAGGGATGTATTTTTTAGATGAATGTTTGGGCTCTTCCTTTCATCCCTCTGAAGAACCCCACCCCGAATCCCCCGGGCTCCCTCCCTTCAGTAAGGCAGCACACTCTGCAAATGCTATGTACAAACAGACCAGCGGAGAGACATGTTTTGTAAGTGCTCTGAAAATACATGTGGTTTCGACCCCTCCTGCCGGGTTCGGGGACGTGTCAGCAGTTACCGCAAACAGGTTCAGAAAACCAGCGAGGCGGCAGCACGGGGGGCCCTGCAGGAAACCAGAGCCTGTTCCCATCAGCTCAGCTGTGCCACAGCCCAGCTCACACTGTCCCATCAGCTCTGTGGCACAGCCCAGCTCACACTGTGTCCCACCAGCTCCGTGTCACAGCCCACTCACGCTGGGGCTGAGGAAGCTGCTGATTTTCTCTCTGACTAAACCAGTTCCTCTCTGCAGCAGCAACAACCCGGCGGCCCCCGGGGCCACAGAGGCTACAGAGGGCCCAGCAGGCAGGAGAAGGGCTGTGCTCAGGGTTGACACAGATTGGTTATTGCAGGGCAGACAGGTCAGGCAGTCGCACCCTGCTGACCCCAGATCAGCAGTGTCTCATCTGATTTGTTACAGCTCTTTGACACTGCAGGTGAGGGACTCACCCAGAGCTGAGTCCAAGTGCTTAAAGAGGGACCAAGTGTTTAAAGCCCTGCATGAAACCCAGCTTCACTGGAGGTATATTGTCTTCATGAGATCAGGGAGAGCCACAGAGTCATTTAAAGCCCTGGAAAAGCCCTAACCACTCCCTGGCACTGCCAAGGCCACCACTAACCCATGTCCCCAGTGCCACATCCACAGGGCTGTTCAACCCCTCCAGGGATGGGGACTGGACAACCCAAAAAACAGCTTCATTTCTAAGCACAGGTACTGAAATAGGAACAGCAAATCCCTCCTGATTTCAGCAAATCCGAGCACCCACGAGGAAGGAACTTCACGATCGCTGCTCCTGCCGAGCCAATAATTGTCAGAGACTCTTTGTGTTCCTCGCCCCGGGATGGGCAGGTCCTGCACTGTTCCCGCAGGATTACCCGGGAGCAGCTCCTCCCGCGGGCAATCCTCGCAGCAATTCCAACCTTTGTCTCAGCGAGGGCTGCTGTGCTGCCCTGAGCAGCCGGGGAACAGCCTGACCTCCTCCTGCAGCCAGGTGACAGCTGTTTCCAAAACTGCAACCTGTTATCGCCTCCGAACCGGAGGAGGGATATGGGAGGCACTGCCGCTGCTCCTCCACACTCCCAGCTCCCCGAGGTTCCTACAGCTACAAGCCAATTAGTTTTATTTCATATGCAAATGATGCTCTAAAGTGGTGCAAAAAGGAACCCATTGACGGGCTGTTACACAGCAAACACTCCCAAAATCCCTTCACATGGCTTTTGTCCCTGCATTCCTCCCAGCAAGGAATTCAAAGCAGTTCCAAACCCCCCAAACTCAGGCAGAGGACTCTCAGCTGGGTCCCCATCTCCGGTGTTATCAGCAGCACGGCCTTATCTCACTGTGGCAGCCGTTTGTATCACACAGGAAACTCCTGAAATTTAACCATTCGATGGGCCAGCCACTCTGAACTCCCTGAGTGACCCAGTGACCGCTGGCTGTGGCTGCTCCATCCCTGGAGTGTGGGCTGAGTGACTGTCTCCAGGCAGGGTATGTCCCACAGGACATCCACCTGCTTTTCCCTGACTGGAGCCATTCCCACCTGGCCTTTCTCTTCTACCTAGAAGGAGCCCTTTCACAAAACTCTCCGAAATTACAGGAGAAAGAACAAGAAAAGAAATCAGAGCAGCAGTGAGAGGCCGTTGTGTCAGGAGAGTTGGGATCCCTTTTTGCCAAGAGAACGGGTGGAATTTTCAGCCAAAGCGGGGGGAACTGACGGGTCAGGAACCACAGAGTTGTTTTAAACAAATCCTTGTGTAATCCATAATGATGTTGCTTGTTTTGAAAAGCAACATGTGCATGACTAGACAGGTGTGTGTGTGTGTGTGTGTGTGAGTGGGGAAACCTGCCCAGCTCCTCAGCCAAGTATTTCCCCTTAGCAAAGAGCATCTTTAAATATCCTGGTGTGGGAATCTCCTGCTGGGAAGCAGCACTTGCCCTTGCTCTCTCCAATACTTTACTGAGAGCTGGAACTTCTCCAGGACCTCTCCTCACATCCATGGAGAAAACTGAGGGCTTCGGAATATTTCAACCTGCCTAAGTTGATATGCCCCCTTTTGTTTAGGTAGCTTGGTATGTGGCTCTACATACCTGGCAGACTTCAGAATGCAAAAAATACAATTTATGATAAATATTCAGTTTGAGGCCAAGCTGTGAGAAGTGGCTGAAGAAGTTGCATTACCAAGTAACTAAACAAGGTTTACCACTCCTCCTGTTACAGATCACGTTCCCTTAGGTGAGAGGCAACAACTTGAGTTACTGAGATGAGTGATGTCAAATACGCATTATCTCCATCATTACTCATCTCGATAATGATGAGGCAGGAAGGTTTATATAAATAGCTGCTTGAAGAACATCATAACACCGAGCTTATTCCCTAATTGAGCTGGGTGCCAGCGTCACACCCGCACAGCCCCACTGACTGTGGCACTGCCCGCCTGGGACACCCAGCAGGGCACACAGGGCCCTTCCTGGCCATGCCAAGTGCTGAGCAGGCGTTTCCTGCCGCCTGCCCCGGGCAGACAGGCCTGCAAAGCCCGTCTGACCACGGCAGATTAATGGCTTTAACAAACAATGCCGTCACCATGGAAGGCGGGACACGGGGAGAGGCCCCGCTCCTGGGCTGCCAGGGGACACCACACACACGGGGACACCGGGGAGCAGGTGGCACTGACCCCCACTGCTGACCCCCAGCAGCAGAGCCACCCCCAGCCCCAGCCCCACACACCCCAGGGCTCAGCAGGGTCTCCAAACACAACTGATGTTGCGTAAGGAGAAACCGGTGACAATGTGTAATAGGACATTTACCTCCTGCTTCAGAACCTCAGTGAGCCTGAGCCTGATGCCCCTTAGAACTTAAAACGTTTGGGATCAGAAGCTCTAGTCTTAAAGCACAGCTTCACTCCTAGGGTCTCCCAGACACCCACACACACAGGGCTCTTCCAAGGGATGGAATACACAAAAGAGCTACAGAAACTGCCACTTGGCTGTTCCACAACACTGGATATCCTAAATCTACAACAGTTTCCCAGCCTTGCACTGGGGCATGGTTTGGTAGCACCTACTCAAAGATCTTCACAAGGACTTTGAAGAGAAGAAAGGAGAGTGCAGGCTACGGAATTAGCAGCTCAAAGCAGAATTTAGTTAGAAAATGCTGATGTTAAAACAGTTTTTGTCTTTGTAGGCTTTTACCTGAAGAAAACACATCACAGAATCCTGAACTGATTTGAGTTGGAAGGGACCTTAAAGCCCATCTCATTCCAACCCCCTGCCACGGTCAGGGACACCTTCCACCAGCCCAGGTTGCTCCAACCTGGCCTTGGACACTTCCAGGGATGGGGCAGCCACAGCTTCCCCGGGCAAAACCTGTGCCAGGGCCTCCCCAGGCTCCCAGGGAAGGATTTCTCCCCAATATCCAGCCTAAATCTCCAGTTTGGCAGACACCCACCCACTCAGGGCAGAGTCAAGCCCAGCCTGTTCCCAGCCTGCCTCTGCTCCGTCAGGCTGAGCTCAGCCCGGCACTCCGGGGTGTCTGAGCCCACGCAGCTCCTGCACCTTCCCTCCCAGTCCCAGAACATCGTGTCTCTGGCACACACACCCCAACCTCCTCCCAGCTGGGTCAGACAGACTGAAACTCTGTGTCCCAGGAGCCCTCGAGCCCCACCAGCCCGGAACCTGCAGCGGGACGTGGCTGGGCAGCACCTTCCCTGGCTGGGCTGACTAAGCCTCGACCCAGCATTGTTCCCTGAGCATTAATCACTCCCAGGTCCATCCTCCAGGACACGTAGCTCGTGTGCAGCCGTGGATTTGGTGAGACAGCCTCTAGAAGGAAACTTCCTGCTCATCTGCACAGAGGTCAAACTGAAATTACTTCACGGGCCTTATCTCTGCCTTTGCTGTTTTGTTTTCAGAAATCATTTCATACACTTGGGGAATTTGAAGTTTCTCTGTTGTAAAATACAGCAAATTTTATCTGCTATGCAATTATACAGGATCTAAAAAATACGATTATTCCCCATTACATGTAATTCTTATTTCCTACTTCTCCTTCATTCTCAGTGGGTGGGATCTGTATTGTGGTATTGCCATCACTGAAAAGGCCCTGGCACAGGGTGCCCAGATGAGCTGTGGCTGCCCCAGCCCTGGGAGTGTCCCAGGCCAGGTTGGACGGGGCTTGGAGCAACTGGGCTAGTGGAAGGTGTCCCTGCCCATGGCAGGGCTGAGACTTGGTGGGCTCTGAGGTCCCTTCCAATACAAAGCAGTTTGTGATTCTGTGAAAAAAATTGGATTTAGTGCCTAATCCAAGTTAGGTGAGAGTAAAGATTAACAGTGACTTCAAGCACTACATTGGGTTACTGGTGTCTAATGAGAAATGTCAGCATAGCAGATGAAAATGAAATGTTAAGGAAGCAGGGATAGAATTCCTTCAGGAAGTGGAAGGAGAGGCAGTGAGCACAAGCCCCAAGGACTCAGATGGCAAAGGCAGTGGGAAGCCTTCGCTACACAGGTGTCTGAACTGGCACGAGCTGCACCAGGCTGGCAAACTTCTGTCTTATCTGCCCTGCCCCATCTGCACTGTGCACTTCCTCCAGAAATGAAAAATAAAGCAGCCTGCACCCTGCACCAGCCAGTTCTGGTGAACTGTACACACGAGCCTCACCACTGCTCCTCAGAAGGGAACCAGCAGCGTAAAAGCTGAAGAAGTTTCAGCTCTCGAGCCCACACTGGTAACACAAGCAGGGCGACCCAACAGCTGCTGGCTAATTTTAGACAATGAGTCGATAAACACGACCCTGTGCAGAGGAAACAACAACTTCTAATAACTGCTTTAATACTTGAGGTGACAGCTTAGGGACGACCAGCATTTCTGCTAGGGGTTGTTCACAGGGAATTAGCTGAAACACCACCATTTATTATCAGTGACAAGGGACCCCTTTTGATTTTGGCTGCTTGGAATGGAATGATGAAAAGTGTGCTGGGAGTGCACAGTGTATTCACAGTGACAGAAAGCAACTGCTCTGTCATCCCTGGGCCCAGCCCTGCCAAGGCTCTGTCAGGCTGCCACTTTCTCTAACACACAAAAAAGACTAATTAGGAACGTCAAGAACAAGCACAGAATGCCACAATAGCCTCTGAATTTCTACAGAGCTGAAGTTTTCTTATTTCACACGCCCCAAGTCTTTCAACCTCAAGGAACTTTCCAGGTGCCAAGTAACAGCTTTAGTAGGTGAGCACGAACTTTGTGTTGAGGGAAACCTGTTGGGTATTAATCAGGTAACACTGTCCCAGGGTTAAACTCGTTGGATACTAATCAGGTAACATCATCCCATGGTTTATAACACACTTGGATACAAACAGCAGGAAAAAAGAAGGCACATCCTGTTGTTATTTCTGCACCTTTCCTAGCAAGGGAGTGAATTCAGTTACCTACCGATACTTGACTTTGATCCTGTCGTTGTCAGGGTTGCAGTAGAGTCTCTCCAGGTGCTCCTGGGAATCGTTGGTCACGCTCTGCCAGGTCTGGGTTGCTGTCCTCCTCACCTGCCAGTGATAGGGCAGGACCGTGTGATGTCTGGGACAGTCGCTGCCATAAACACAAGTGCCCTGGAGAAAATCCACACAGATCTCGATCCCGTCCTCCTGGTGGGTGTGATACTGCAGCTGGTTCAGCAGCTCGAACACCAGGTCCAGAGAAGCTTCCTCACTCTTACCCTGGAATATCCCAGCGCTGAATTTATTGCTCGGGTTCAAGTTGTACTGCATTGGACAGCTGTTCTCCTGGAACAAGGCAGACGTGCAGCTCTCCAGAACCTTGTCAGGGAACAAAGGACAAGCTGCACCATCACTAGCACTTGGGTGCAAAGGATGATCCTGGAATGATTCGTTACCGTTATCAGCAGCAGTTCCAGGAGTTTCTGGGGAGAAGCCTTGCTCTCCTGACCGGCCGTCCTGCTCAGGATGCCCGGGGGAAGGACGGGCTCCTGGCAACTGACCCTGCACATCTGCAGCTGTTGGCACCAGCACACTCACGTCATTTTCTGTCTGGGGGCAAGAAGTACTGAGGTCCAGAGTCTTTTTCACAGCAGGTTCACATAAATCACTGTGGCCACCACCCTGGCCCCGGGGCACAAAGACCCTCTCCAAGGTCCCAGCTCCCAGCAGGCTGGTGAAGATCGGCCGCAAAGCCCGCAGGGTTTGTGGGTCCAGCCTCTTCTGCACTTGCTGCTTCTTCTTGAAGCAAGGCTTCACTGGTGGTATCTTCTCAGACAGCCTCACCTGAGGAGGGAAGTCTTCTGAAGGAGGGCACTTCATCCCTGGGCAGGGAGCCTGGGGCACCACACACGCTGGCTTGGGTTCGGTGTCCATCACACACAGACTTTGCTCCCTCCAAATCACTTTCAAATGTCCCAGAGCCTCCCCAGAATCAATCTAGGGCAGAAAGGAAAACAAGACAGTTAATCTCTCTAATTGCTCATGGTTGACACGAACAAGATCACCCCTGGAGAGGATTTCGAGCCAGCAACAGCAAACTCCTCCCCTGGCTGTGACTGCGGGGAGCCCTTAGGCACGTAAAGCATGAAAACAGCTAAACTCAGGCTAATTAATCCCAAACCCACACTCCTCATCTTCCCGCACATGAAGTCTCTGAGACACTCAGGCACGAACACACGGTCCCCCGAGGGTGGGCAGGAAAGAGGGATGGTCTGACGCCTCCTCCTTGTCAGGATGTTCTATAAACAAGAGCACTTTTGGTTCATTATATTCCACAAAAGCCAACGTGACGGCGCTCATTCCTGTGCCTCCCTCACACCCAGACCTGAGGAGCATGAGACACACAGCCCCGAGTGTCCTCAGCACACCCCGGGCATTCCTGCACCATTTCTTCTCCCACCACAGAGGCAAACCCACACATTCCCATTCCATTCGCTCGGATCCTCCCTCGTGCCACCTCCCACCTCCACCGGCAGAGAACCACCGGCTGCACGTAAACCCAGGGCAAACTTCATGGAGACTTCAGCAAGGGCCAGGATTTAATCCTGGGGGTGTTTCAGAGGAATTCCAGCGCTTCCAGCCTGTTCCTGCTGCTGCCCTGTCCGTGCCCTGACCCTCCCTCTCCTCTGACTCAGCTGCACCGTCACCCTGCCCGTGACACCTCTCACCCGGGCAACAGGAATTAAAACCGGGCACTGCAGCAAGCTACAGGGTGATAGTTACTCAGGAACTGAGAGAGAAATCATCTGCGAGCTGCAGAATTATATTTTTTAAGGCACAAATAAGCAGTGTGTCTCGGACGTCACCAACAGCAAGCGCTATGCCTTTTAATCAGCAATCCTGTAATATTTGATTACATTTAATTAAACCCTCTTCAATCTCGCCCGTAGCCTCAACGCTCAGACTGCAGGACATTAAGGATTACTTCCTGGATAAATGCATCCCAAGCGAAGCAACTTCTCATTTCCAAACAAAATCCCAGAGAACAGAGAAAATTTGGCAATAATTTCTCACTACTGATGACTTGCTCTGGAAAATTTCTCACTGAGTCTTCCTCATTTTGGAACATTCATTTGTAGGGCTTTTCCATTTCCCTGGGAAACAGCACGTCAGGATTGCCAGGAAAAAGAAAAAAAAAAGTTGTATCTCTCCGGTTTTTCCATTTTTAGATCGGATTTAAAGGAACTGGTGTATGTTTGCCAGATAAACGAAGTCACTGGTTTATCTGTAATTCTTCCACAGACATACCAGGCAACTCTCCTTCTAAACCACCAAAGGCACCTTCAAGTAACTCCAAAGGTTTAAAAATCCTCAACTCCGAAGGGAATGGGATGTTTCCCTTCATCCAGCCCAGGTCTCAGAGCCCCAGCAGCGAGCAGGAGGATCTCCCAGGGCTCACGGAGTCCCTGCTGTGCCGAGGAGCTGAGCAAGTGACTTCTGATCTCGTTCAGCCACATCCTCGCTGCTATTTCAACATTTACATTTCTCCCTTGATCAGCATTTCAGTTTCGCTGCTATTTTTAAAGAGCAGCCTTAGCGAGCGGAGCCGAATCCCCCCAACGCCTCTAAAAATAAAGCGGCGAGAAGGACGAGCGTGAGGCTTTGCCGGCGTTCCCGTTCCAGCGCTCCCCCATCCCAGACGAGCCGCTGCCGTGCCGGAGCAGGGTCCCCCCGCAGCGATGCTCGGTCTCTCGCCGCCTTTCGCAGCCGAGATGTCTGGGCGGGAGGTTTCGCTCCCCCAGCTCGCCATGGCACGCGAGCCGCTCCCCCAGCTCTGCCGGCCCCTCGCCCCCCTGGCACGGCGGGCACTGCGAGCGGCAGCGCGGACACCGCACCAGCCCAGCCCCGCTCGCACCTACCGGAGCGGCCGCCGCGTCCCGGCCCAAATCCGGGCGATCTCCGCACCACAATCCCTTTCCTGGCTGCGGGAAGGATCATAAAAGAGGCGAGAGCCGCTGGCGGGGGGGGGGGGGACGAGCACCTGAGCAGCGCCCGCAGGCTGGGGCGGTCCCGCCGGAGCGCGGGGGGTGCGGGGGGTCCCGGGCTCAGCACCGCCCCGCCGGGGGTGTCCGGCCGCCCATCCCGCCGCCTCCCGCCCCGGCTCGCTCTGCTCCCGCTCACATCTTCCCCGCCGGTTTAAATATCGCTGCCGGGAGCGCTGGCAGGGCAGCGCCGGCCGGGGCGGAGCCGGGCCGGTCCCCCGCCCCTCGGCCGGTCCCCCCGGGGTCGGCGCGTCCCGGCAGAGCCCGCCCGGCCCGGCCCGGCCCGGCCCGGCCCCGCCTCGCCCCGCTCCGCTCTCGGCGGGCAGAACCGAAAGCGCCGCCCGGGGCCGTTCCCCAGCAGCGACGGGCCGAGAGGCGCCTTCGCGTTTCATTTATCACGCACCGAGCGTTTCGTTTCAGCCCGGCAGGGAGGGAGGGAGGCAAGGAGGGAGGGAGGCAGGGAGGGAGGGAGGGATGTCCCCGGGAGCGGCGCTGCGTGCGCGGGGCTCGCACGCGAGCCGGGAACACGCCGGGAAGGAGCCGGGAAGGAGCCGTGTCAGCGCCGGGAACAGCCCGTCCTCAGCACGGCACCTGAGCCTCCCGCAGCTCGGAGCGCACGGGGCCGCGCTCGGCAGTGACTAAGAGGCAAAGCTGGGGGGCCCCTCCCGGACAAAGTCAGCCTGACTCAGCCCGGCACCCACACGCACCCCCTGGCACGGGCCCTGCTCCACCGCCCTGACACACGCGGCAGGAGCCAGCGTGACGGGGAACAGGTTTGCCCGAGCAGCTGTGGCTGCCCCAGCCCTGGAAGTGTGTCCAAGGCCGGGCTGGGCTTGGAGCAACCTTATCTAATGGAAGGTGTCCCTGCCCATGGCAGGGGTGGGATGGGATGAGAGGAGCTTTAAGTTCCCTTCCAACCCAAACCAGTCTGTGATAACACGCTACAGGCAGCCACTGTTTATTTACCCAGTATGTTATAGGTGGCGTTGGTTCAAAGCAGAGTTAAGCTCCCTTTGTCCCCGGCCGTGCTGTCCCCGTCGGGCTGTGCGTGTGTGAGAGCACAGCAGGGCGGCTCAGCCGCTCCGTGCAGCCCTGACGTGCCTGGCTGCTGAATCACCGCCTGTTCCCGGAGCAAACCTCCACAGCTCCGGCCAGCCACTCACACGGACACCAGCCACGACCAAGAGCATCTGCAGCACTAACTTGGCCAAAGAAAGTAACTCATAAAGAAGTAAATAGCTTCAGAAGGTAAAAATTGTGTTGATGGAACATCTATTATTTGGGGGCTTGGAGCAACCTGGGACCATGGAAGGGGGTTGGAAGTCCCTTCCAAGCCAAACCATTCTGGGATTCCACGACTCATGCTCTTGTTTTAGTTGTAAAGCCAGTCTTTCATTCCTTGTGCTCAGTGACTGTGCTCAGAACATACAGGCATATGGAAATAAATTCATTTTAAGGTGCCACTTGGAAAATGCTGTGTTAATATTCCAGGCAGAATATGGCACTTCTACCAACAAATTACAAAAATGGAGCTTCACAGAATCACAGGATCCCAGACTGGTTTGAGTTGGAAGGGGCCTTAAAGCCCATCCAGTGCCACCCCCTGCCATGGGCAGGGACACCTTCCACCAGCCCAGGTTGCTCCAGGTCCATCCAACCTGGCCTTGGACACTCTCAGGGCTGGGGCAGCCACAGCTTATCTGGGCAACCTGTGCCAGGGCCTGCCCACCCTCACAGCCAACAATTCCTTCCCAACATCCAGTCTCACCCTGCCCTCTGGCAGTTTGAAACCATTCCCTCTCATCCAATCACTCCAGGCCCTTGTAAACAGTCTCTCTCCAATGCAGTTGGAGAGGGAATGACACAACAGAGGCTCAGTAAAGGTGGCATCTGTATCTGCAGGAGCTGAAAACAAATTATCATCTGTAAATTAATTGAACTCTTGAGTGCCTGAAGCAGCAGCCCCAGCCCCGGAGCCTGCGTGGCCCCAGCGAGCAGAGCGTGGTGGGGCAGGGTGAGGGCGATGTGTCACATCCTCAGCAGGGACGGAAGCTGCACACACACACACACACGTACTTATCTGCCATCACCAGAACAGAAATTACCGCTCTGGAATAGCTCATTTCACGCATGAGATATAAATACGAGGCACATATGGCTGAACGACACACCGGGGTGGGCACGGCTCCCGCTGCAGTGGGAGTGGGAGGATGGCACCGGGCAAAGACGGAGGCTGGAATAACCATCCTTCTCCAAACAACTGTATATAATTAAAGGAAACACATCACAGCACACCAGACCCTCGTACACCCATTTCTGAGGCTCCCCCACACAAATATAGAAAGAAGCTCTGACCACTGTGAAAGCATGATCTCATTTTTAAATACATGTTTAAATCTTAAGCATGAGAATGCAAGCTTTAATTATTTCCTTCAGATGGTAAAGGGCACCAGAGCGAATGCAGCAATCTACAACTCTGCCTTCCAAATCCAGGATAATCACTATGCACACTTGATTTGGGATGAAAGAGGGGAAACATCTGACTTCAATGTTTGTGCTAAAACAACAAAGTTCTCAGGCTCCAACACATTTTTTTCTAGTGACTGGAAACCTCCTTTTCTATCTCAACCTTTGCACGATGAACATTCTTCACTCCCTAAAACAAATCCCAGGACAGGAAGGCTGATTGTCCTTTTCTGGTGTTTTATACAAGTCAACAAACAGCACTGTGCTGCTGACTAACAAAAAGCTCCATCCAACCTGGCCTTGGACACTTCCAGGGATCCAGGGGCAGCCACAGCTTCTCTGGGCAACCTGTGCCAGGGCCTGCCCACCCTCACAGCCAACAAGTCCTTCCCAATATCCCATCTGTCCCTGCCCTCTGGCAGTGGGAAGCCATTCCCTGTGTCCTGTCCCCCCATCCCTTGTCCCCAGTCCCTCTCCAGCTCTCCTGGAGCCCCTTTAGGCCCTGCCAGGGGCTCTCAGGTCTCCCTGGATCCTTCTCTTCTCCAGGTGAACCCCCCCAGCTCTCCCAGCCTGGCTCCAGAGCAGAGGGATCCAGCCCTGGCAGCATCTCCAGGGCCTCCTCTGGACTCTCTGCAGCAGCTCCACGTCCCTGTGCTGTTGTTCCCAGGGCTGGGACAGCTCTGCAGGGGGGTCACACCTGAGGGGGCAGAGGGGTAGAACACCCCCCTCTCCTGCTGCCCACGCTGGGGGATTACAGGGGTTCTGGGTGCCAGAGCTCATGGCCAGGTCAGGGTATGTTGAATCCCCAAATCCTTCTCCTCAGGGCTGCTCCCAACTTGTGCTTTTCCATAACAGTGCCTGAAACAAATGCTAATCACCAGCAAATACCTCACCAAGCCCTACCCTTTTGCCAGCAAGCCAGGGTGGGTGAGCACCCAGGGAAAAGACAGGTCAGTAATGCAGACGTGTATTAAAAATTAACAGGTGGGAAGGGAGAACCTCTGAAGTGCTGGCTGTGCTTCTGTGAGGGTGGAATAATGCCACCAATGTCACTAATGAAAAGGAAGAGGGAGGAGGCAGCACAGCTTTATTCACACCTGTAGCCTTGGCTGGACTGACACCTACTGGGCTCCACCCGCTGTGCTCTGTCC